TAGGAACAAACTAAGACTTATGAATGAAACAGTACAACAGCTTGTATAGAAAGATAAAGAAAATTAACACAATGACCAATGCAGAGAAATAGAAGACAACAACAAAAAGGGAAGAACAAGAGATCTATTTCACAAGATCTGGGACATCAAAGGAAAATTCACACTAAGGACTGGGATGCTCAATGACAATAACAATAACAATAATTCAAGACTTTCAAGTGGGCTTCAGGAAAGGAAGAGGCACTAGGGTCCACATTGCAAACATATGAGGGCTAATGGAGTGCACCAGGGAATTCCAAAAGAAAATCAGTATGTGCTTTATAAACCATAGGAAAGCCTTTGACTGCATAGATTATGAATAGATTATGAAATGGAATGCTGTTAAAGACATGGGAGTGCCAACACATCTGATAGTCCTAATGAGGAATCTGTACTTGGAACAAGAAGCTACTGTTAGAACAGAACATAGAATGGTTCCCAATTAGGAAAGGGGTCAGACAAGGCTGCATCCTTTCACCCTATCTGTTCAACTTGTATGCATAACATATTACAAGAAAAGCAGGCTTGGACACAGAAGAAGGAGGAGTGAAAATAGGAGGAAGGAATATCAACAATCTAAGATATGGAGATGACACCATAGTACTAGCAGAAAACCTCACAGACCTGGAACACCTACTAAGGAAGATCAAAGAAGAAAGTGCAAAGGCAGGATTAATGTTGAATATAAAGAAAACAAAAATAATTACCGCCGAAGACCTTCCCAAGTTCAACCTAGACAATGAAGAAATAGAAATAGTAAAAGAATTCCCATACCTGGGATCAAACATTGACAGAAATGGGGACTGCAGTCGGGAAATCAGAAGAATTTTAAGAATGGGGAGGGTGGTTATGAAAGAACTAGAAAACGATTCTAAAATGCAAAGATATACAACTCAGCACAAAAGTTAAAATCATACAAGCCATTGTATTCCCTATTACCATGTATAGATGTAAGAGCTAGACAGTTAAGAAAGATCATAGGAAGAAAATCAACTCATTTGAGATGTGGTGCAGGAGAAGAGTGCTGAGGATCCCATGGACAGCCAAAAGGACAAACAAATGGGTCCTAGAGCAGATCAATCTGGAAACCTCCCTGGAAGCCAAGATGACCAAACTGAGACTGTCGTACTTCAGACACATCATGAGAAGGGAGGATTCATTGGAAAAGACAATAATGCTGGTAAAGATGGAGGGAAGTAGGAAGAGAGGAAGGCTACATGCCAGATGGTTGGACTCTATTAAGGAGGTCATGAGAATGAAGTTGCAGGAATTATGCAGAGCCATGGAGGACAGAGGGTCTTGGTGATGTCTCATTCATAAGGTCACCATGAGTCAGGATCAACTCTCAAGCAGTTAACAACAAATGTCAGGACATATGCCTAATAGCAAGTACATCTTCTCTCTCTTTTAAATCTATGATGCTTATTGCTGTAGATTTTTTTTTGAATTGCACAGTTTTATACCCTTCATTAGGGGCATAGCACAGCTATTGACATGCAGAACATAGATTTTACTAATCTTAGGCCGTTGCATAATCTTTGTAGTTATATTAAAGCATACTGACAGTATAGAATTAGAGGCCAATATTAAAATGTCCTTAAACTGCAATATCTATAGAAAATGTAAATAAGCCTTACGGTTTTTCAGAGGAATATTAAATATACATGCAGCACTGTGTAGCTAGATTAATAGCTTAGGGATGATGCATTGTTATGGAAACATAAACCCTATGATATATTTAAAGTATATAGTCATAGCATCTTGCATAAACAAACCATACCCCCTTGACTAGTTTGTACAAATATGCCTCATTAATTTTTATATTGAATCTATTTAAGTTTCCTTGTGTAGATTTTAAAGAAAATACATTATTTATAATCACATGAGAAATGGATGCTCAATTAGAAAGTTGTATGCACCAAAACATCCTAGTAGAATCTATTCTTATTCATTTGAATAATGGTGACAAAAGCCAGATTGTTAAGTCTCTTGAAACTGATTTTCTACTGACTTACATTTGTTCTGGTTTCACAGATACAGAACACATTTACACAAACATAGTCTATCACTCTGTTGCAGCTGGGGCCATATAGGCCCTATCCTATGCAGTATAACTCATTAGCTATTAAGACCCTAGTAGAAAGGGTCTTAATGCACCAGTTGGTGCATACAACTGGTGCATTAACTTCAAATTGCAATACCCAGGGAGATTGGCATAACTTGTCTACTAAGATTTACACTGGTTGATTTGGTGCCATAAGGTTGTTGAATCATCTCTTATGTTACTGATGCTCTTCCCACAGCTGCTCTCAGGTGTAGGACTTTGCCAGTGCTAAGCCTCTGGAGCAGGGATAGGCAACCTTTCCCCTTTAAGGGCCAAGGGACTTCAGCTCCCAGAATCCCAGGAGCTATTGGCCAACATGGGACTATTGGCCAACATGGCTGAGGTTTCTGGGAGCTGAAGTCCCTCGGCCCTTAAAGGGGAAAGGTTGCCTACCCCTGCTCTGGAGGAATGGGTAGTATAACCACGTGTTGATTCACTACTCCTACAGCAATAGATCCACTAGCTGTTAGTCTCTCTACTGCACCTCAGAACCAACTGCCCCCTGAGAGATAGGTGTGAGATTTCCTACTGGAGCTCGCTGTAACTTGTACAAGCAAGTTTTTATACATTTATCTTCACTTTAGATAGGGGAGTTACAGACAGATGAGTGATATTCATTCAGTGTTCATAGATAAAATGTTTCAGAGTAAATATCAAATTTGATCAAAATCAATTAATAAATATGCATTTTACAATCAAAACACATAGAGATTTTAAGTATTTGCTTGGAGGGTACCCAAAGTAGTTGATGGATTAGGTATTTGCTTGGAGGGTACCCAAAGTAGTTGATGGATTAGGTCTAGAACCTTGCTGCAGTCTTTGTTTTGGTGCTGTTAGATAACATATCACATTTATAGAATCATAGAGTTGGAAGAGACCAGTAGGGCCATCTTGTTCAACCCCTGCCATGCAGGAATGCACAATCAAAGCACTCCCAACAGATGGTCATCCAACTCCATTTAAAACCCTCCAAAGGAGGAGACTCCACAACACTCCAAGGCAGCATATTCCACTGTCAAACAGCTCTTACTGTCAGGAAGTTCTTCCTAATGTGTATGTGGAATCTCTTTTCCTGTAGCTTGAATCAATTGCTCCTAATCTCTGAAGCAGCAAAAAACAAGCTTGCTCCATCTTCAATGTGATATATTTTTCAAATATTTAAACATGGTTATTATATCACCTCTGAACCTTCTCACCCCCATGTTAAACATACCAAGCTCCCTGAGCTGCTTCTCACAAGGCATGTTTTCCAGACCTTTCACCCTTTTGGTTGTCCTCCTCTGGATACCTTTGGTGACTCTTGTCATCAAGCATGTGGATTTTTATAACATAACAAATAGACAAATGCTAAATAGTATAGATATATATCCTAAATCGTACATAAACCCTACTTACAGTAAACTCATTGTCCTGAACAATATTCTAGTCCCAACTAGAGCAGACCCATTAAATGAACTGTTGGGTAGACCAACACATTAAACCTTAAGACCTCTCATTTGCACCATACAATATGAATGGTAATCATTCTTAATCCTAATTACTTCTTTTCTCACTTTAATATTGAAACAGTGGGGCATTTTTCTGACTATGAATAAAGTTTTATTTTTGTTACTTTTTATTCTTTTATTTTTTTTAATTTGTTTTCTGTTTTTATGTGTTTAGCACATTAAAATGTCCTTAGCTAGTTAGTCAGTTGTGACTTAAATGTTCTGGTTATTTCAGTGGACCTACAGTAACATTGGCAATACATTCATAGAAGTAGGTAGGTAGGTAGGCAGGTAGATAGACAAATAGATAATAAAAATATGTGGATCTTAAGAAGAATTTACTTTAGCCAAAATGCACTACTAGACAGTGTTTACCTTTACAACTGTATCCACATTTGTTAACTTGAGGTAACAGACCAAGGGAGCCAGCATGGTGTATTGGTTTGAGCATTAGACTGCAACTCTAGAGACCAGGGTTCAATTCCTTGCTTAGCCATGGCAACCTTGGGTGAATAACACTCTCAACCCCAGAAACTGCCATTATAGGTTAATTTTAGCATCATCATAAGTGGGAAATGATGTGAAGGCACATAATGACAAGAATTGATCCAAAGTGAAACTCTACAAGGCATGGTTGGCTTTCAACATTATGGTCCTCCTCATTATGATGTTAGAACAGGAAATATATTTATGTTCTTTTATTTGGGAAGAGATAAATAAAGGCAGCAAAAATAGAGGAATTTTTCAGCAAGCCAAGATATGGCAGTAAGTCAAACCACTGCTTCCAACATTCAGGCTCCAACAAATATAACATATTCTATAAGTAATGTTATTACTGATTATTTATTCACAGATCATTGCCTAGTCTGCACATAGCCATATATATAACACTCTCCTTTTGTACTCCTAATGGGTAGACTGTCCTGGAAAATATTTCCATTGGATTTATCCTAGACAATATTTACCAAATATGTCACTTTCACAAATGTTTACAATTGCTTGTCTTCTTTTGAAATGTGGAAGCAGCAGCAATAGCAATAGCTGCAAGGCAAAGCAATGCCAGATCTGTCAGAGATTAAAATACCATAATTATGTCTTCAGATGTTCTAATCTATTCATTATTTTCTGGGTCTGAAACTAGACAAGGAAGGTAAATTTTGAATGCATATGTGCCATTTACATCTCTTATTTGTTTACATCTGTCAGCTACATCAAAGCATGTAGACTGATAATTCCCTAAGCATTGCAACTCTTGTAGTTAGTAAGCTTCCGTTATACTATATTTCACTGTCTCATGTTGTCTTATAGAGAAATGTAAAAAAAGGAAAAGAAAATCCTATTGGAAATCTTATAGCTATGTGACATCTAAGGCAGCATTAAATCCATGCTGCTTCTTAGAGATGTTGTATAGATCTGGTGCAACACTTAAAACCATAATAAAACTTTGACAGTGCGGCCAAACATATTATCTGCATTTGTACATAACAATAAGCTTAACATTTCTGGGCTTAAAAAAGCATGGCATGAAAAAGCTGTGTGCTGGTGCTCTAGTTTGTTTGCATCTATTTTTGCATGAGCAAGTAAACAAGACAGTGTGATATTTAAATGCAGGATTATAGTTAGGTGCATGTACACAAGCCAAGATTGTAAACTAACTTTAAATTCGGCTTTGTTGTCACTCTATGAATCAGTTTGGGCAAATTTAACCATAATCCCATATTTGCATGTCATGCAAAGCTCTCCTCTTACAGGTTGTTTACCCAGTGTAGAGAGAGGTTTAGCAGGATGTGCTGTGTATACTAGTGTACATTAACCTTGTAGTTTATTAAGCTTCCATTTTTGATATATAAATACATGTGAATGTTCCAATAGGCACAAAACTGAAGGTTGAGCTTGCAATACTTATACAAGGAGCAAAGCAGACACGTGAAATAGAACGATCTGCAGCTGCTCTGGTCACGATCACTCTGGCATTGTGGTGACTGGATGGCCCACTCCTGAAATAGGCCTCCACCAGCAAAAGTGGTTTTTCCCCCACTCCTTTTTCAGCTGGTTTCAGGCTACCTTAGGCAGTCTGTCTCGGCGCAGCTTCCATTCATTTCAGAGCCATGTGTCATCTAAATACCATGCCCCTGAAGTGGAAGAAAGCTACTTTATTTGGCCTGTCTGTTCTGGGCCCAAGAGAAGCTTTTTCCTTTACTATTTCTGTATCAATTTGTGTATTTTTTAAGTCTGCACAAAATGTGTACATTTTAATGTGCATATCTGAAAATCTGCAAACCAGTTCGTCTCCTGTCATAAACATTTTGCAAGCAATTTTATTTTCAATGCGTCTTTGAAACTCAGAGAAGTGCATGTGACTACCAGTTCACACATTATTTTAGGAAATCTGAATTAAAAGTCAGCTTGTATTCAAATGTGAATCAAATAAATCCCCCCCATTTTTACCTATGAGTATGGTGGATGGATGTTACCTTCTTCTTCACAGACCACTGGAGTTCTAAAACAGAGAGATATAAAAGAATTCCCATTTTAGTGTAAGTGTTCTGTTTACAAGAGGCTACAGCAATAGCAATAGCATTTATATTTCTATACCTCTTTATAGTGATGAGCACTCTCTAAGTGGTTTACCATGTATTAGCCAATTAGCCCCAACAACCTGGGTAATCATTTTACTGACTGATGAAAAGATGGAAGGCTGAGTCAACCTGGAGACCTGCAGGATCGAACTCACAATGTTTTGGCTGCAGTACTAAGCTCGGAGTTTAGTAAAGTATGAGTACAGACATAGCTCAGAGAGATGGTCACCTACCTTTGTGGATGAGAGACAAGACAATTACATCTTTCACTAATATCTCCCTAAGTACAGTAATGCTTTTCTATGCTAATGAGCAAACAGCATTTCTTCTGCATTCCTGGAAGAGAATAATATTAATAATAAATTTAATAGTAAACTTATGCCTACAGTGGGCCCTTGTTATCCACTGTGGTTTGATTCCAGGACCCCCTGTGGATTATAAAATCTGTGGCTGTTCAACTCCCATTAAATACAGTGGCATAGTAAAATGGTGTCCCTTATATAAAATGGAAAATCAAGGTTTACTATTTGGAATTTATACTTTTTTGGAGTATTTTAAAGCTGTGGATGCTTGAATCTGTGGATAAAAAACTGTTTATAAGGAGGGCTGGCTATATTTCAGTGAATTCAATTATAGCCACCAGGGCTAAACTAGGCCTATGAAAGGAATACTAAAAGCAAATTGAAAAAAGGTTTTAAAAATGTGTGTCTCATGTTAGGAAACTCTGATGAGAAGAATCTTAGAACGATGATGGCAAAATTAACACATGGTTGTTTTTCTACAGAGAACAGTATTTTTCTTTGCAGATTAAAATCTGCAGATTTTCTTTGTAATTAAAAATTCCTTTTCCAATCCAGAAAAATGTTGTTTTCTGTGCAAAACAATCATGCGTGAATTTTGCAAATGTCTCACATAGCAAGTAGTGTTCAAAAATTGCACAATTTTCAAAAACTTTATGGCAGAAAGAAAAAAATTGCTAAAATAACTTGTTGCTTCTTTGTAGCAGAACATTATTGAAGAATTACACCCCTTTCCTAACACAGTGAGTGATACTTTTAAGCAAGAAGCAGGGTTTAGGCTTACAATTTTAACAGAAGAACAAAATGGAGAAAAGTGCCAATTCAAGTGGCAGAAGATTGGAGAAATGTCAAGCATAAACAAAGAAAGAGCAGGCCTCTATGTTTTGGAGACCCCTCAGCAAAATGCATTCAGTGTAGGGCTAGTGTCCTTTAATGGGTTTTTAAGGGGCTTTCACCTGACAAACCTAATGGGGCCCTGGTCATTCTCCATCTAGCCCATCAACTTCTTCTGTACTTATTACTGATCAATGATAGAAGGTCAGAGATAACTGACTGTTTAAAATCAAGAAGGTTTCTTGTGGAAAGAGTTTCTGATTTGCAAACCAGGATGGCTTTGCATGGAACAGTTCTCTGGTTTGTTGACTGGGAGGTTTTGGATGGAACTTTTTCCTTTCATTTTAGATGATGCCCATATGTTGTCATAATAGCTGAGCTGAGCTGAGTTTGTGTTCTTCATGGGGGAAATGTCCCAATTGGTAAGATTTACCTTTGATCCTACCCACTTTGCCCTGGGCCCTTTGAAACCCCTTTCCAAAAAATGTGTAGCTTTATGCTGCCATCTGCCTGTTCAAACTTGCTAACCCTTGACAGTAACCCAGCACAAGAGGGGGAAAGCGACATATTGAGCCCCAATGTATTTCAAATCTAAGGCTCTACCTAATGCAGAAGAATCTTATATCTTATGAAGAACTACTACAAAGAGTATATTCTGTTTACTAGATTAACTCACAAGACATTCTGGGGGAAATTCATATCTAGAGTAAAAGCCTGAAAGGTATTTTCTTTTCCTGAACTTTTAATTCACAGACCCAAAGTTACTTTAAAATGTTTTAAGCTGTTGAAATATTAATTGGTTGGACAAATTGATTTTAAAAACCTCTATTATTATTATTATTATGTCTTTCCTTCTAGAAGTTAGACATCATCATAGGTGTTTTTATTTTATTTTATTTTATTGTGGCTGTGACTGCTCTAAACAAAGGTATAATATTGCATACAAGCCATTCTCTAAGGTTTTTCAGCCAGTTTAGTTTGCCTTGAATAATGCTATAACAACTAACGTTTTTCATTATATAAATGAATATAATGTTTCCTGCTTATCAAGTGCTTTATGCTATCTTGGTCGTTATGGATTTTGTTTAATATTTCTTCTTTAGTTATCCTCTCAGCCCCAGAAATTTTTTGATATTTCAAATGAGGAAGCTACTTTATTGTTGAAGAAAACAAATGTGTGTAGTAGAAATGTATATAAAAACTTTAGATGGCAACCATCTTAAAAGAAGCACCATTTTGGTCATGAATAGGAGGAAGAATGCCTCCTCTATGAGAAGCCTGGAATGACAATGTATGAGCATCATCTAAAAATTCGGTGGTAGCTTTCGACTTCTGGGTCGGTGGAGTGGTGAGATCATTCTGGGGTTTGGCTTGAACTTTAAAGTTCTTTTAAGCCCTGTTTCCAACATAGGTTCAGCTCCTTTAAGTTCAGACTAAAAAATGGAGCAGTTTCACTACCCCACTGACATAGGAACCACCAGCCACAACTATTTAAAATCCAAGAAAAAATTGCAAATGTGACTGATAGATTAATCACTGGAAGTTTGTATGATTAAAATGAGTTAACATTTCTTTAACTGAGTTGCAGTTTACGAGTTATTTCAGCAAACAGAATACATAATAGTTTTCAAGGGTTCTTTCAAGAAACAGTTTTAGTTGTTCTTGCAATGGTGCCACTGTAAATGCCTCAGGGCCATTTTATGTAATTCTGAAGATTTTCTTCTGCCTTACCCCTTAAATCCAACAAAAACACCCTCACAGCAGCTCTTTCTGCATCTCTACAA